GTCAAGAACTTTAACACTGGCGCACTTTTTAAGGACTGCGCGAAAACTCTACTCCAAGAGAGCACCGGGACATCAAGCCTCGTCAAATTCGGAAGCGCCGTAAGTAATCGCCTGACTTCAACGCGAGTGAAAAACGGTTGATCCTCTGCTCATTAAATGACCATATCTTTTAAAACACAGGCACAATATACTCGCATAATCATCCTCGAAGTCCTGTCGCGCGTTTCGATCGTCCTGTAAGTGGATGTGTCTCCACAAAAGTCCGGTATTTTGAATGATACGCTGCCACCTTCGACATATCGTGCAATATATCGTGGAAGGTTTTCGTATATCGGATGGAGATAAGATAGTATCTGTGCTATGACCTCACCTGGTAGAATATCCATATTGTTCATTCAAAATAGCAGTGGCTAGACGACTTTTAAGACTCGACTTTCACAGTCGATTGTGACGGAAAAGTCGTTGAACAGTTCACGCGCGCGTGAATGCGTCTCGCGCGCGTTTGCATTACGCGTTATCATTTTCAAAAACGTCTCTGCGCGCGCTGTCAATGGAAAAAAGAGCTCGGAGTACTGGCAAGACTGGCGTCTGGCAGCTATTTGTGGTTACAAAATATAGCAGCATCTTGCCTTTGTGATCTTCTGTGCAAAAGAGGAGGGATATCCATTAGAAACAAGTACAGATGACAGATGTTTTTTTTTTCTCTCCAGCGATTACTGATGTTTTGGTCATGAGACGTTTAGCCCGGTCGTACAAACACTTCACAATAACGCGCTTTACTGACTGAGGGTGGTGTGAATCATAAATATAGATAAATGCATAAATGCAAATAAATAGATAAAATTAATTCTAATTAAACCATAGCTATAAAAGCTGGCCCAAGTAAATGCATTTCAGCATGTTCTTAAAATTGTCCAAAGATCTACTCTTACGAATACCTAGAAATGGACCTTGATCAATCATAGGCGTTGTGGACCATTTTACCACCGTTTTTGCACCAAACTGATAACCTTGTTTTTCGATTTGCGACGTCGGAATGTCGTCGATATCTAAACCTGATCATTGTGCTGAAAGGGCTAGCCTAGCACTACTATCAGCTTATCAAGAATATCTGATGACACTTAAATTGATGACGTCACAAGTGGTACAAAGAGCACGACCATTAATTACGCATATATGCGTAGTTGGTATTCAAAGGGTTAAGTCTAAATTGTACTGGCAGCTAGTGAAGCTTGAAAGGTACAGGCGATATATGATCAAAGCAGGAAACATTGCAAATAAGGCATGTTGCTGTGTTTTGGACATGCTGTAACTTAGACAATTGTGTTTGCGGCAAACCATATGATAAACTATTATTGCAAGAGTCAATTCTAGTAACTAGAGCATGCACTAACTTCTTAGTTGATTCAGTCGATAGGTACTTTCTTATGCATCAAATGTTCTGCAGGAGGAAAATAAGACACACCACAAATCTTAATCTTACGTATATATATATCTTACTAACCAAGTTCGAGGGCCGTACTGTTAGTTACGGACCGAGTTTTTTCCCCCATCGATTTATGTCCCAAGCGCGAAGCACGCTGGTCACAAATTGAAGGGAAAAAAGGGGATCCATAACTTAAAGTACGGACCGAGAAAACGAGGTTAGTAAGATATTTATTACATCTCTACTGTGCATCTAACGGGCTCGGCAACGATTTCTGTTCACGCGGAACGACTTCAAATTTCTGACGCACCTCGAAAGCGAAACGAGTCAATTTGAAATCGTTGTTAAGTGACTCTGAAGTCGTTAACAGGTTTTAATACACAATTTCAGAAGTAACAGAAAATTTTAAACTTTTATTTGCTAAACAGGTTAAGAAATCTTGACGATAAATCACGCAACATTTTGGCAGCAAAAACAGCTTCAATTTTTAGCAGGCCGTACAGTAGAAAACGGCCCGCTAAATTGACCAATCACAGCACGCGTACAAACTGAGAGATATAATAATATGTTTTTAACATGTTTTCATCATCGATATGGTTTTGTCCGCAACGGATCGCCATAGCAAAATGAGCTAAATTAAACTGGAAAATAATTGCTATTAACCAAATCGAAAAATGTAATTCAGAGAGAAGTTTGCAAGTGAACGGAAACTGATTAACTGGTTTTCTTTCACTGTGATGTCTACAGTGTGTTGGTGATGGAACTTGCACCAATGTAATGAGGCCAAATGGAACGATTTGTCGACCGGCTTTTGACATTTGTGATCAGCCTGAGAGGTACTAGCATTTATCACCACAAATTGGCTTCCTCGGCTGCAATAGGCCCTTTGCAGCTAGGGTCACATGACCAAATGTTTCCTAGAAAATTTTTGTATTATGGGCTATAACTTAAAGAATGCCAGAAATGGAAAGAGCGCATCGAAAATACCAAAATGACCAAGTTTGAGGCCCCTGGAATTAAAGAGTAAGTTTATACGACTGTTTGAATTTTTGGAAAATTTAGAAGATTTGTATGGAAAATGTTGCTGGAGAGCAAGGTCCTGCTCCCCAGCAACTTTTTCCATGCAAACCTTCTTATTCTTTTAAAAATTCGGACCTTCATAAAATCTCCTTCTTTAATGACTGGGGCCTCAAACTTGGCCATTTTGATATTTGCGACATGCTTTTTCCATTTCTGGCATTCGTTAAGTTATAGCCCATAATTTTATGAAAAATAGGTCACGTGATGCCTTAGCTGCAAAGGGCCTATATCATATTGAACTACACACTTCAAACACCTTGGAATTACTAACATACTCTTTCGTTGTATTGCCAGTGGAATGTTGTCACCTAATGCTCAATTCTAAGGGGTAATCCACATTAGTTACAGTAAAACGTTTGCTAGTGGGACGCCACGAAATTATATCATACCCTTGGTATTTAAAAACGTGACCTTGTTGAATGGTCGTTAGATGTTGGCCCTGGGGCTCTGTTTTTTATCTGGGTTCAGGCAGTGGTTTATTTTGTCTGAAGTTTAATGGGCTACGAAAATTTCTTAGGTAGTACCCTACCTTGAATTGAATGTGACATATCTAGGTGTTGTTTATTAAATGCCTTTCCTATTAACAATACATGTGCCTTGAGTACTGTAAATCATGTTTAGAATGTGTTGCTTAAACATTCATTGCAAATGATGTTTATAATGATGTTTATATATATATATGTATGTATGTATGTATGTATGTATGTATG